TAGAATTAGAAGAAGAAGAAGAAGAAGAAGAAGAAGAAGAAGAAGAAGAAGAAGAAGAAGAAGAGAAGAAGAAGAAAGAAGAAGTAGTAGTAGTAGTAGTAGTAGTAGTAGTAGTAGTAGTAATGGGAAAATGAGTAATTTTTTTGCTGTGTATTTTTAAGGAGGACACATACCACTTCAAAATGTGAATATAGAATAAGATAGGGCGGGGTAGTGGTGGCACACGCCTTTAATCCTAACACTCTCGAGGCAGACGGATCTCTATGAGTTCGAGACCAGCCTGGTCTACAAAAGCAAGTTCCAGGACAGCCTCCAACGCCACAGAGAAACCCTGTCTCACCCCCCCCCCCCCGCCAGAAAAAACAGAGTAAGATAGGAATGCTATAGTGAATTTGAGGTCACCCTGTACTATATAACAATCAAGTTAGCAGCTATTACCTAGCATTTCAAAGAAGCCAAGAGGGGCTGGAGAGATGGCTCAGTGGTTAGGAGCACAGGCTCCTCTCTAGAGGATCCAGGTTTAATTACATCACCTCAACATGAAGGCTCAAAACCCCCTGCAACTCCAGCTCCAGGGGGCCCAATGTCCTCTTCCAGCCTCATCAGGCATCGCATAACATATGTAGCAGATATAGAAGTACGAAAAACACCACTCATGCAATAAATGGGTAAAAGGCAGGTGTGTGTGTGTGTGTGTGTGTGTGTGTGTGTGTGTGTGTGTGTGTGAGAGAAAGAGAGAGAGAGAGAGAGAGAGAGAGAGAGAGAGAGAGAGAGAGAGAAATATGCAGAGGCAGAGATGGGAAGACAGTATAATATAACCACCTTCTGAGACCTATAGCTTGTTATTCACTCAAACTTTATTAAAGTAGTCCTTGAGATTTCTCCTATGTTCAACTGTTAAAAGTCTATGATTAACAAGACATAATCCCCAAAAGGGGAACCCAGTTTCCTTGAGAATACCAGGAACTCAATATATCATCCAGAGAGTTCTGGAAACTTGGGATCCTTCTCACTAGCTTCCCAAGTAGGATTACATGGTATTCATAGCCCAGTGCGTGACTGATCACACAAGACAGCATAGATTCAGTGAGTGAGATTGGCACATTAAAATCAAGTATCTCCTTTAATGAAACTTATTTCCCAAACTTTGCTATTTCTTAAATTTCCAGTTGAACGAAGAAATGTTCCCTCAAGCCTCCCAATGCCAGGAGTTCTCTCAATACATTCTTCTAAGTGTTCCCAAAGTGATAATGGAGACCTCACAAATTCTATACATTAGGTTTCCCTCAGTGGGTTCTTTCATTTCTACAAAAGGATGACTGAAAGATTTTTTAAGATTCCCTGAATGTCAGCTCTTTCCATGTCTTTCAGTTGGGTTTCATTCCTGTAATAACACTCATCCAATTTTGTGTGGCTTTTGTACAAATGTGTTTCTAAGTGTGGGGTATATTTTGGTTTGGTTTTTGATTTGTTGTTTTCTTGTTTCTAAATGAAGGAAGGGAATTTTGAGAGTTTGGGGGAAAATGAATGAAAGTGGCAAAACTTCCCTCATTTTCTTTGAATGATATACCATTTATGAAAAAAAAAAAAAAAGATTCCCTACATGTCTTAGTCACTGTTCAATTGCTGTGAAGAGACATCACGACAAGGGCAGCTCTTATAAGACAAATCATTTAATTGGGGGCTTTCTTACAGTTTCAGAGACTTAGTCCATTATTGCATGGCTGGGACCATGGTGCTTGAACAGTAGCTGAGAGCTACATCCTGAACTATAAGCACTGACAGAGAAAGAGTGACTGGATCTGCACAGGCTTTTGAAACCTCGAAGTCCACCCCCAGTGTCACACTTCTAAGAAGTTCACATCTACTCCATCAAGGCCACGCCTTCTAATTCTTACATTCTTCCCAACACTTCCATTTCCTGGTAACTGAGCATTCAAATATATTAACACATTTGGAACATTTTTATTCAAACCACCAAATTAGATTTGAAGGGTTTCTCCTCAAAATGACTACCACAATATCTTTTGAGGGCCCCTAAGAACTAAAGGCTATCTACACTGTGTGCATAGCATCTTCTCCACAATGAAAAGAACTCAGAAGCAACTCATGTTGCTTGCAGCTTTTCTCTGGTGTGTCTACTTTCATGTAGTTGAAGGGAACTTCTAGTGCTAAAAGCCACATTGATTCAAAGGAATAGTTTCTCTACAAATTGTTTGACATTTTCCCACATGGATAGCATAAGCTGTTCTGTGTTGTTTGATTTCTGTGAGAAGTACACAAGAGACTTTCTCATGTTATTTGCAAACATCCTTATTTGCTCTACCGTGAACTGGTGCATGTCTTCGTAAATGAGTTGAACTGGAAAAGCCTCTCCCACACGTCTTACACTGATAGGGTCTCTCGCTGTTGTGGATTCGTTCATGGACTCGGACCTCAAAAAAGCGACGAAAAGCTTTCCCACATTGCTTGCATTCATAGGGTTTTTCTTCACTGTGCATTATTTTATGTTTTCGAAGGGAACTGTCAGAACTAAAAGCCTTCCCACATTGCAAACACACATAGGGCTTCTCTCCAGAGTGATTCCTTTCATGGCTCTGAAGGGAGGAAGAAGAAGCTAAATCCTTCCCACACTGCTTACACTTGTAGGGGTTCTCTCCAGTGTGCATTCTTTTGTGGAACTGAAATGAACTGTGATTATTAAAAGATTTCCCACATTGTTTGCATACATAGAGTCTCTCTCCAGTGTGAGTACTTCCATGTCTTTTAAGGTTACCAGAACTACCAAAGGTTTTCCCACAGTGCTTACACACATAGGGCTTCTGACCAGTGTGAATTCTTTCATGTGTTTTTAGGGAACTGGAGTAAGTAAAGCCTTTCCCACATTGCTTACAAACATAGGGATTCACGCCACTGTGAATTACTTTGTGCTTCTGAAACTGATACCAAAACGTGAAGGAATTCCCACATTGCTTACATACATAAGATTTTTCCCGAGTGTGAGTTAGTTCATGTGATTTAAGGTAACGAGAAGCGGTGAAGGCTTTCCCACATTGCTTACACACATACGGTTTCACACCAGTGTGAATCCTTCTATGTATTCGGAAGTAAGTAGAATCAAGGAAAGTTTTCCCACACTGCTCACACACATAGGGTTTCTCACCACTGTGAATTCCCATACGTCTTCGAAGGCAAGCAGAACGAGAAAAAGTTTTCCCATAATGATTAGGCAGAAAAGGATTCTCACCCCTGTCAGCTGCCTGATGTCTTAAGAGGTTACCAAACCGAGCAAAGCCTTTCCCACACAGTTCACAAACATAGGGCTTCTTAACACTGTGACCTTTTTCATGTCTTTGTAAAGGACTGGGATGCGTGAAGCCTTTCCCACATTGCTTGCAAATGTAAGATTTTTTTGCATGGTCGTGTTCTTCATTCCTCTGACCAGATCCGACACATAGAAGATCTTCTTTGAACGCTTTATTTTCAGAAGGTTTCTCTCCAGGGTGAGCACTTTTATGCATCTGAAGGGACAGAAGAGAACTGGAGCTACCCCCAAACTCCTTATGTTCACACAACTTCTGTCCATATTCCTGGTCTTCATGAGGTTTGTGTCCTACCTGATGGTTCAGGGGCACACCCAGCGATGAACAGCCAATGCTCCCTTCTCCACACACATGCTTTTCACATGGGGCAAGTCCTGGACAAGATTTCAGGTTCACAGAAGGCTCTGGAATCCAGCTGCAGATTTCTGTACACTGAAAGCTTTCTTTATATTCATAGAATTGCTCTACCAGTTGGCTGCTGCAAAACAAATGAAGAGTACATGGCTGTGACTTTGTTTATTAATGATTGAACAAAAGAAATGCTGGGAAAAGGTTTGTAACATGACTGGACTGTTGTGTTTTCCAAGACCATTTGAGGCCAGCTATAATAGAAACAACCGTATTCATGAATAGTGGGGTGTGTCTCTTTGAGATCATGAAATATTCACAAGCATCTCAACACAAATTTGAATCCACAATCTTATGTGGATGTGCAATGGTATCAATCAAAATAATCTAGTTATTTTTATTTTTTTTTGTTTTTGTAAATGCTTACATGTCCATGAAATAAACTGACAACTTCCAACTTGTCCCCATGGCTTGTGGATAAATCAATGCCACATTAAGTTTTAAAAACATGCTTATTTACTGTGTTTGTGGTTATGCATGTGTGCTATGGTACATGGGAGGAGCTCAGGACAGCTTTCAGGAGTACTGTTTCCTTCCATGTCAGTGAAGCAGGGTCTCTCTTACAAGAACAGGGATTACAGAGATGTGTCATTTTATGTGGGTTCTGGAAATTGAACTCAGGCCATTATGATCACAAGGCCAGCCCTACTACTGGCTAGGCAATCTTTTGGTCCCCTATATAACTCGTGGTTAGTTTTCTGTCAGCTTGAAATGATGTAGAATCATCTTCGAGGAGTAATCTCAGCTGAGAAAATGTCTCCATTAGATTGTCTTTAGGGAAATCTGTGGAGGCATTTTTGTTATCAATCATCACTGTGGGAGAGACCAGGGGTAGTATTGCCCCCAGGCACCAGATGGTTCTGATTACACAAGAAAACAGTCTGAGCAAGTCCTGGAGAGCAAGTCAGTAAGGAGTTTCCTCCACAGTCTTTGTTACAGTCCTTGTCTCTGGGCCCCTGCCATGCCTTGAGTTTCCCTTAATGATGGACTGTGACCAGGACATTTAAGTCAAATAAAGTCTTAGCTCTGTCTATATAGAAGAAGGTGGAGCCTCAGTTACAGTGGACACCACAGCATATTGGTGATAGCAGTAGGGTAGGACAACCACCCAGGACAGTACATGATGATGTGGAACTGGCCTGACCTGGGAGACTGTGTGCTGCCAGTAACAGACTTGGGGAAGTGGAGCTCCCAAGAACCTGGGAGCCCAGGAGATGGTGTTTCAGTTCCCGATGTGGCACACCCATATTTATACTACTGGAAATTGGCTTTGATTGGCTTTGATTTTGACTATGCCTGGTTCTTCCCTCCTAGAATAAGAAAGTACGTACTTTTTTTTTTTTTTTAAATATTGTAGGGGCCCACAGTTTGGTAACTATTGACTTGGAAACATTAGTAAGGAAAACTTGGACTTTTTGTTTGTTTTGGTTTTTTGGGTTTTTTGTTTTGTTTTGTTTTGTTTTGAAACATGATTTCTCTGTGGCTTTGGAGGCTGTCCTAGCTCTTGTAGACCAGGCTGGTCTTGAACTCACAGAGATCCACCTGGCTCTGCCTCCCGAGTGCTGGGATTAAAGGCATGCGCCACCACCGCCTGGCTGAGAACTTGGACTTTTAAAGTGTTGAAATTTTTAAAAACTGTGTTTTCTTTTAAATTGTGATACCAATACTAATAAAATGATATCTTTTAGACAACCAGAAAGGGCAGGTTATGGTTAATACTGAGGTGTTTGTGTGTAATGAAAACAAGGAGTCAGTTTTGCTGGCTAGTATTTTGTCAGCTTGACACAATCTTAACAAAACTTGAGAAAATGTCCCCATTGAACTGGCCTGTAAGCAAGCATGTGGAGCTTTTTCTTGATTGATAATCAATGTGAAGTGTCTAGTCCACTTCGGGCAGTACCATTCCTAGGAAGGGGGTCATGAGGTATAGAAGAAAACAAGGTGTGCAAGTCATGGGGAGCAAGACCATAGCAATCCTCTACAGCCTCTGCCTTCAGGTCATGCCCAGAGCTTCCTGCCTGAGTTCATGTCCCGACTTCCCTTGATCATGGACTTCAAACTGCAAGGGGAAATTAACCCTTTCCACTCCAAGTTGCTTTGGCTCATGGCCCAGAAATACAAAACCAAACTAAAGACCATCTGTAGGGCATGAAGTTTGTATATATGAACTATGACAACACATCACATGTGACATCACCATATTCTAGTTGTTCTCAGGATTGCAACGTTTGGCATCTTCTAGTGCTGATGGTTAAGACTTAAATTTTGGAAGAAGTTTTCTTGAGATGAAAGAGGTTTGATGCTGGATATCAAATGCATCTTTTACTACTTTGTAAAATGTTCTATTACACCAGCACTCTGGAATATGGCTATCTCTTGGGAATCAAATTACCTTAGTTTTCTCCAGAGATTTTCATACTCACTTACAATCTTCTGGTTTTTCAACTTGTTTCCTAAAATGTAGAACAATAAAAATAGTTAAGACATATTAATAATAGAAAAATATTAGATACAGCTAAATTGAAGGTATAAGTGATCCCATCTGATATATTCACCCCATCCCCCTTCCCATATTCCAATTCATACATCGACACTGACAAGGTAGAAACACTTGTCCTGTGATGGACTAAAAGGGCAATGCTCGTGTGTACCTATAAAAGCCAGGTTCCTCAGGGTTTCCTGCATCACATCCTTGTACAGCTTCTTCTGGGATGGATCCAGCATAGCCCACTCTTCCTGGGTGAACTTCACAGCCACATCCTCAAAGCTCACTGACTCCTAAAAGCACACACACATATTTGTTGTGGAATATTATTTTAAAGTGTGTTACATTCGTTTATGCTGTGGAACATTTGTTGAATGATGCAAAGATGTGTTGCATTCCTTTATGTTGCATTTGTTTAACTCTCTGAAGCTGTGATTCTTTGCCTTTCTAAAACACCTGATGGTCTAATAAAGAGCTGAACAGCCAATATTGAGGTAGGAGAAAAAGGCTAGGTGGGGCTGGCAAGCAGAGAGAAGGAAAAGAAAAAGGAGAAGGAGCAAGACTGAACAAGGAGAGGAGGATGTCAGGGGCCAGGCACACAGCCACACAGCCAGACATGGAATAAAAAGAAAAGATATACAGAAACAGAGAAAGGTGAAAGCCTAGAGGCAAAAGATAGATGAGATATTTTAAGTTAAGCAAAGCTTAAGTCATGTGCTGCGTGGTTATCTCATACGTTTTGTGGCTCTATCATGGGTTGTGTGGCTGCATAAGGCTCTGTACGAATACTCAAGGGTCCCCTTTTAAGCCAGCTCCCCCTGCCCCTCACTCTCTTCAATTCCTTTCTCAGTTGATTGCCACAGTTCCCTCTTTCACCCCCACTTCCTAATAAACTCCCACCTGGTTTGTTGTACTCTGTGATTCACTTATCAACACCGCTGCTAAACAACTACACTTATGGCACCAAACTCCAGCTCCCATGCTCTTTTCTGGTCCCCAGGGGATTGCACACACATGGTGCAAAGGCATTCATGCAGGTAAAGTACCCATAAACAAAACAAAATATTTTAAAGAAGTTTTAAAGGTTTAAAAGACAAATAGGAGCTGGAGAAAGCCCGGTGCATACGAACCCTTTCACTCTACTGAAGGACCTGGGATCAATTCCTGCATCCATATTAGGCAGCTCACAGCTGCCTGTAACTCCAGCTCCAGAGGGATAAGATACCTCTTACCTCTCTGGGCACCCACGCTCATGTGCACATGCTTACACAAAGACACAAACATACATGTCATTAAAAATTAAAATAGCTGCTGGGCTTTGGTGGCACACGCCTTTAATCCCAGCACTTGGGAGGCAAAGGCAGGCGGATCTCAGTGAGTCCGAGGCCAGCCTGGTCTCCAGAGTGAGTGCCAGGATAGGCTCCAAAGCTACACAGAGAAACCCTGCCTCGAAAAACCAAAAAAAAAAAAAAAAAAAAAAAAAAAAAAAAAAAAAAAAATTAAAATAGAGAGTCACCACATGAGCCCGGGAAGACAGGATGCTTGCTGCTGGCATCCGATAATATAAGTCTTATAAAAATATAGATTTATGATAATTAAGACTGAGCTAGCACATGAGAAATCCTAGTCATTGGCCAACCAGCTTTTGTACTAATATAAGTCTCTCTGTGTTACTTGGGACCTTAATGTGGTGGCGGGCGGAACTTGGGTGGCCTGTCGGAAAGCTCACATGACAGCAGGGCTCTGGCGGCTTGGCGGAAAGACTTATTGTTATACTCCTCCATTGCCAGTGGGAGTGCAAACTTGTAAGACCACTTTGGAAATCAGTATGGCAGTTGCTCAGGAAAATGGGAATCAGTCTACCTCAAGATCCAGCAATTCCTCTCGGGCATATACCCAAATAATACACATTCATACAACAGGACATAAGTTCAGCCATGTTCATAGCAGCGTTGTTTGTAATAGCCAGAACCTGGAAGCAACCTAGATGCCCCTCAACTGAAGAATGGATAGAGAAAATGTGGTACATTTACACAATGGAGTACTACTCAGTGGAAAAAAGCAATGGAATCTTGAAATCCTCAGTCAAATGGATGGAATTAGAAGAAACCATCCTGAGTGAGGTAACCCAGTCACAAAAAGACAAACATGGTATGTACTCACTCATATATGAATTTTAGACATAGAGCAAAGGATTACCAATCCCTTCTCCCTCTCCCTCCCCTCCCCCCAATGCCCCACCTGCCCGCCACCCCATTCCCACACAAGGAAGCAAGAAGGACTCTTAGGGAAAAATGCATGGACCCCAGAGAATGGGAAGGGCCAGGATCTCCTGAGCTAATTGGGAGCATGAGAGTAGAGGAGAGGGAGCTAACAGAATGAAAGGAGGAGAAGAGGAGGGGAGAGGAGGAAATGGAGGAGCAGGAAGGTTGAATTGGGGATGAGGAGAGCAGGGTTAGAGATACCATAACAGAGGGAGCCATTATAGGTCCAAGGAGAGATCTGGCAATAGGGAGATTTCCAGAGATCTATAAGGATGACACGAACTGACAATCTAGGCAATGGTGAAGAGGATACCCTAAATGCCCTTCCCCTATAATGAGACTGATGACTACTTTTTATGCCATCTTAGAGCCCTCATCCAGTGGCTGATGGAAGCAGAGGCAGACACCCACAGATATACACTGAACTGAACTCTGGAATCCAGTTGCAGAGAGGGAGGAATGAAAATCAAAGGGGTTGGGACCAGGCTGGTGAATCCCACAGAAACAGCTGGCTTGAACAAGGGGGAGCACATGGACCCCAGACTGCTGTCTGGGAGGTCAGCACAGGACTGATCCAGACCCCTGAATGTGGATGTCAACGAGGTGGCCTCGGTACTCTATGGGGCCCCTGGTAGTGGATCAGTATTTTTCCCTGGTGTAAGAAGGGACTTTGAGAGCCCATCCCACGTGAAGGGACGCTCTCTGGGCCTGGACACATGGGGAAGGGCCTAGGCCCCGCCCAGGATAATGTGGTGGACTTTGGGGAGCACCCATGGAGGGCCCTACCCTCCCTGGGGAGTGGAAGGGGAATGGGGTAGAGGGCAGGTGAGGCATTGGGGGGAGGGGAGGGAGAGGGAGAAGGGATTGATATGTGAAGCAAGTTTGTTCCTAATTTGAACTAATAAAAACAAAATGTGGATCCTAAAATAAAAAAATTAAACTGCTGGGTGTGGTGGCACATACTTTTAAGCCCAGCAGGCAGGAGGAGCTCTATGAGTTCATCTCGAAAAACCACACACACATACACACACACACACACACACACACACACACAATAAATCCATCTTTAAGAAAAATAAGGATATTTCAGGGACAGGAGAGATGGCTCATTGGCTAAAAGGGCTTGCTGCTTTTCTAACTGACCAGACTTAGTTTCTCAGCACCCATAAAGAGTGGTTTAACTGTCCATAACTCTAATGACAGCCATCTAACACCCTCTTCTGGACTTCTTGGGAACCCACATACGTACACACACACACACACACACACACACACACATCGCACAAACATACACATAAATAAATCCTTTAATTTTTCATACAATATATTCTGATCATATTCTTTTCCCCCCAACCACTCCTCTCAGATCCTTTCCACCTCCCTATCTATCCAACTTTGTCTCTTTCTTTCTCTCTTTAACAAAACGTGGTGCAGGGTGGGGGTGGGGTGTAGAATCAAAATAAAACAATAATAAAAAAAAAAAAAACAGAAAACATGGATTCAAGCCCCCTCCTTCTCAAGGCTCCGGGATCTATGAGAAGAGGAGGTGGAAAAACATTTTTTAAAGAGCCAAAGGTAGTGGACATCAAGGAACTGATGTCTTCCAGACACAACAGGACTGATGCACACATGAACTCAGAGAGGCTGTGATCACATGCACGCAATCTGCAAAGGTCTAAGCCAGTAAAGATCACAACATGGGGAAGAAGTATGCACAGTGTCCCACTTCTAACCCAGCAGCTATTTGCCAGTGACACCTACAAGGAGAGAGAAAATCACTTCTCTGCAATGGAGTGACTCTGGGTGGAAGAACTACACTCCAGGGCATCCTCCTGTTCAGGAATAGCTGGACAATGGTGCAGTGAGTGAGAGACTCTGGAGCATTCAGCCTTAAAATGAAAAAGAATTGTTACAAGAGAAGAAGAAGAAAAGGATATTCCAAAAGGTACAGGGGAAGTGATTATAGACACAAGAACAAAGCTATCTCTAAAGCTGGATGTAAGTTGCTTCCCTGAAAGCATCTGTGAACTCAGAGAAAGCAGCAGGGAAAGAGAAA